GCCCACATTGAGAGTACAGATTAGGTTGTGATTCATTACACACCACCCCCTCCCCCTCTCTATGAGGTGTCTTGAATTCTATCCCCGTAATCTTTAGCAATCAACGCGCAGTGCGTGTGCATGGCCATCGGCGCGCTCCTTGTCTAGTGACTGCTTTTTGACACGAACTGAGCAGCGCACAGTGTCGCGCGCGTCGTTCCGGAGGGTCGTTAATAATAATTACGCTTCGGGACGCACACGTTTTCGTCAGTTGTGCAACTGGCGAGCGTCGTTAAAGTGCGCGCGCGCGCGCGCGCGTGTGTGTGTGTGTGTGTGTGTGTGTGTGTGTGTGTGTGTGTGTGTGTGTGTGTGTGTGTGTGTGTGTGTGTGCGTGTTCGCTAAATTAGAACCTTCGTGGCGTAGGAATTCCGTACACGTGGTTTTCCTCTCTGGCAGCGTATCGCTGGCTGCGAATTGGTTCCGAGAAGTATATTCCGAGGCTAAATTATCGAGTGTGCCGTACCACGCGATCACCTTTCCTTTAAGTATACCTAATCTCTTCTCTCTCTCTTTGTTGCTTTTTTTTTTCTGCGAAAGTGGCACGTGCTTAGTAACCTATACGAGCGCACGACTGGGACCTTGTAGTTTGGCGAAAGGATACGGTGACATTACATCTCCTTCCCTTTCGCCGACGCTGAATAGGAGGGTAGCTTTCAATAACTCGGGCTGGCTTGATTTTATCGTTTCAATAGGTCATCCTCCTTTGCTTGTGTTTAGGGTGGTAGAATGGCGGTGTAGCGGCAGCGGGGGTGTTTCGCTTTGTACCTTTTTGCCCTTAATTTGCGTATGCTGTCTATTGGATACGGCGCTTGCAGAGTGTGGATGTATATATAATCAACATATTTTATTACTTTCTGGGCTGTGTACTAATGGCAGATGTTGTTGTATGTATGCCGTATTGTGGCTTACACAATGCAGGAGGCGATTAAGGTATACCTACAGCCATCAACTTGGGACGATGTGTAGGCTCTATTGTGCCGCCTATAAGTGCTTAGGTTAGTTTGGCGAGTGTTCAGAGATCTTCAGGAAGACGTAAAATTTGAAGCAAGCAGCTTCCAGTCACTGGCAACCGGTTTTCCGCAAAGGTGTCATTCGATGCAGTTGTGTGCACTCTACTAATACACTTCGCTCCAGCCGAGAAACAAAATAAAGGGGGGAGGGGAAACACCCTTTCTTAGTCTCCCGGAATTTTCCGACCGTTACAAGTATGATCCATCGTGTCTTCATTTCGGAATTCCGCTGTTCGTGCTGGCTGTGATAAAGCATTTTTTGTTTCATTGAAGCTATAAACGCTTTCAACTGGCTGCTTTGCGCGGAACGCCGACAGGCGTATATGGGCCTCGCTAATGCTGTCGCATCTAATTAAAAATCGTGGCATGACGCTGTGCTGCAGTGTGGTTCTCGCTGCACCGATGGATCTCCTGCAAAGCTCTTTCAGCGCCGAAGTCACGAACGACAGCCGGGGTCGCCTGGCGAACAGGCGATAAACGCGACCTCTTTGCGTGCCCGTTTGTTCCTGCTCACTTCTTTGAATTGCAGCTTCTCCCTAGACTATTGCACCGCATGCTAAATCAGGAAATTATACGGCGGGAAAGGACGGACAGTCGTAGAAGGGCCGATTGAACGACGTTCGATCCCCGGCCGTCCTCCATCAATCTTGTCTAGTCACAACATGATGCCGAGTTCTGGGGAAGCGCTTCGCTGCATTATGGGCCATAAGATCATAACAGCCTAAAATGAGAAGGGATGGGGCCGTCTCATTTCAACACTGCAGAAAAACTTTGTAACATCATCAAATGGTAAAATGGCAGGGAGGTTTCGAGGTAGTGACTGGCAGGTGGTACAACATTGGAAGGTGGCAACCGCTAGGTTGGACAGCTTCGGAAGTGGTAACCGTTGTGTTGGACAGCTTCTGAAGGGGTAACCGCTGTGTTGTGCAGCTTTGGAGGTGGTAACCGCTGTGTTTGATAGCTTTGGAAGTGGTAACCGTTGTGTTGAACAGCTTCGAAATCGGTAATCGCTGTGTTTGACAGCTTCGGAGGTGGTAACCACTGTGTTGTACAGCTTCGGAGGTTGTAACCGCTGTGTTGTACAGCTTCGGAGGTGGTAACCGCTGTGTTGTACAGCTTCGGAGGTGGTACCTGCTGGTTTTGACAGCTTCGAAGGTGGTAACCGCTAGTTTGGACTGCTTCAGAAAAGTTGACAGGTAAATACGTCGTACAACCCCGGTGTGTTGTGCAGCTTGGGTTGCATGATACCCTCTGTTTTGTGTGGCATAGGATGTTGACCTTGTGTGTTGTACAGCATGTAAGGGTGGTGAGCCGGTGAGGTTTGCAGCATAGAATGCTGGTAATCGGCAAGTCATGCAGTGTCGTCCACCGGTCATCAGTGCCGGAGCTTTTGCGTCTGTATGATATAACCGCGCGTGACCAAATAGATGCAGGGGCTTCTTATGACGACTTGATCGACATAACTTGCGAACGTTTTTCCATACATATTGAAATTTAGTCATCTTTACCAGCACGTTTTTATAAACAACATAGTGTCTTTCGTTTTCTCTTGCTATGTGCAACCCACAGGCAACACTGGTTTTATAAACGTTTTCAGCCCCTCCCCCCTTGTTTTTCTGTTAGCTTATTCTAGACAAGGTTACATTCTGCGCTCAATTATAATTTTGAGTTATTGGGACACCAGGCGGCAATTTTTCGCATAGTGTCAGTTTGCGTATATCCGCGTGATACTGCCCCATTTGTTTCCAGACAGTGGCTTCGGTATTCTTAAATTCCCGGCTCCGGCGGCTGCATTTCCGGTGGAGGCGGAAATGCTGAAGGCCCGTGTGCTCAGATTAGGGTTCACGATAAAGAACCCCAGGTGATCGAAATACCCGGGGCCCTCCACTATGGCGTCTCTCATAATCATATGGTGGTTTTGGGACGTTAAACCCCACATATCAATCAATCAATCAGTATTTCTAAATTAAATTATATAACGTTCAGTGGAATGGAGGTAGGGTTGCCTTCAGGCATGACCGAAAGCCGTCAGTTCCAGCGGTAATAAGCGGTACTATTTTATCGCCGCTTGTTTACTTGACGGCGTTTGACTCACCTCTGTCGTTTCAGCCATGGTTGAGTCGCAGCAAGTTGGGTACCATCCGATAGCTTGTAATTTTTCTCGGCCTTTAGGCGCCATATTTTTGCATGCTCTGTGGTTCCCAGGGTATACGGTGTGGTGTCACCTCAGGCATAACGGTTTACCCGCGAGATTTGTGGGCGATACGGTCTTTTATGCCCTCGCGTGCTTTACGAGGTCGGCGAAGCGACGCGCTCTGAAGCGCGTGTATTGGGGGCTGTTTTGCTTGTTAACTTCGTCATCAGATGGCGCTTAAGCGTGCGTGATTTACGCGTTTGTCATTACAAGGTTAGAAGATAAGTGTACGCTTCACTGTTGATTGGTCTATCATTTTTCTTTGGCTATCTGCAATCTCATTTGATTAATGGCATCAGCAGAGCTAACTGCGCTAGTAAATACAGTTTTTTTTTTCGCGCTGATTTCTTACTTTCTTCGAATAAATGCAGCTTTTCACACAGTGAGAAGCTGTAAGTAATGCACTGATTTGTTCAGAATCGACCCGGATGAACAGTTCACGCTTTACTGAAAGAAGGGCTCGTTGAACACCGCATTATCCTCGGAAAAGTAACAAGTTGAAAACGCCTGGGTATCTTTTTTTTTAAAAGCTGTGTTTAAGTGACAGTAGTTATTGGTCCAGAATTTTCAACATCGCGAGCTGTTCCCCAAGACGCTAAAGTAAGCAGCAGTGTCCGCAGGAACTCGTACATCTGGGACCGTCGTTTATTGTTAATCTTTGAAGGACGACAACGCTGGCGATCGCACCTTCTAACCCACTTTTTTTTTTAATCGTTGTTTATAGTCACGGTCAACATCGTAACATTGCTGTTTCAGAGAATTCATCAGTAGTGGTAGACGTGACTGCAATTGTAGTGGTAAAAGATCAGCAAACAGCGCCTGTTCAACGCTCCGTACAGCTGCTGCATTGACCTCGAGGACATACCGTGGCGCCACCTACGTGATGACGTCACTCATAGTATGCCGGATTGACTTTGTCTGCTATAGAACATTGCATTTTCGGCGCTTTTGCTGTCGGACACCGCGCGTGCTTCCCTTTGTTTTGAAGCTCAGTGCTTAAAGAAGCGGCAAGACGTGATAATACGGGCAAGCAAACTATGAATCTGTGCCCCTGGTGGCACTCTCGTGTCTAATTTACACCGCAAAATGGCGACTAAGAACCGGCGCAGCCATGGCGGACAATGCAAGTGCTGTCGCGAAGCAAAGCTACCTGTATCCCACAACTACGCATCTTATCTGTGACGTCAAAACGACTGCAGCGCTGGCCTCTTTAGTGGAGGCCCTCGTGGCCAATACTGCGTGATCAGCGTATTGCTACCGTCACCGGCATAGTCACTCACCAGTCTACTCACTGAGGCTTCTATCAGTTCCGTGAGCCTGAGCCCGATTGAGTGACACTTCGTGGAGTTTGAGGGCGGTTGAGAATTTAGAAAATCTGAGTGAGTCTCATTAAGGGAAATGTCGGTGAGTTAGAGTTTGCCCTAAGAGCAAAACATCCTTGAGTGAGTCTGAGCTTCGCTTTTTTTTTTTAGCTATGTGGTCACGTGACCTTTTTTTTAGCGGCGCGTTCAATCGAAGTTCATATTTTGAGCAATCGCGTTTTTTTCTCGTAATTTGAAACTCTGGTGATTTTTTCAACGAAAACACCCGTTAAACAAAATTCGTGTGATGGTCGTGACATCTGTTATAACGATGCTTTACTTCGGCTATAAATATGTGGCTTGGTATTGGCTGATTTTGTATAATTTTTTGTTGGTTGCCCTAATGTTCAGTTACGGTTTTTTAACTTGTTGTTTGATTGTTTTTGTTTTCTTCAGTTCGGACCAGCTGACCGAAGAGGATGTTGAGGTGAGCCGCAGTTTATTATACATGTCCAATATTCCGACGCTAACTGTACCGATCCCCATCTCGCCCATCGTCGACCCGTCTTACTTTACTTGCTCGTTCCCTCTGCAATGCTCGAGCTTTTAAGTCCCGGTCACGACAGCCGCATTTGCATGGGGACGCAACACATGGAAATTCCGGGTGCTTAGATTTAGGTGCACGTTAACGAACAGCAGCAGGACATAATATCCACACATCTCCCGCCACTGCGCTTTCGTAGTCATATATGGCCTAATTCAATGAACCCTCTAGTTTGGTTTCGATTTTTTTTTTTTTGTTCAGTGCATGTGAATTAGGAGGTGCTGGAGGGATCTGGCAGTGTCGTGTGATCGAATCGCGATCGCATGATGCCGCGTTTTGATCAACACGCGATGCCAAAGGCCGGTGTACTTGGATTTAGGTTTTCGTTAAAAAACAGGCGGTTCAAATTTCCAGATCCCTCCACTACGGTGTCTCGCGCAGTCGCACCGTGCTTTTGGGACTTGAAACCCGAACAATTGTGGGATTATTTGGCACTCAATGAAAGTAAGGGGACACTTGGTACAATCAAGCCATATCTTGAATGCAACCATTATGGTACGTCACATGCTTATTTTTCTCGGAGTGTTTTATGATGAACAGGAAGTCCTATGCCCGTAAACAGGAGACGTGCTTGGGACGTATGCACCAGTCTAAGCCCGTAAACCAGTGGTACGCCCGCAGATATGAGACGTGCTTTGGACATGTGCCTGCCATGCAGCGCCCTGCCATTTTTCTTGCGCTGGTCTTTATCAGCCTGCTTCATATCCTTCAACAAATGGACTCAAGTGCTAACCTTCTAAAAGAGTGAGTTTGCGGGGTAAACAATGACCCCCCGAAGCTGACAGTTTAGGTCAGTGAAGTTCAGTCTCACAGTCCTGTGCATTGTTTGTAATAACAAGGTGTCAGCATGGCAGAGATAGAAGTAATCGTTCCGGCCTATGTGTGACCTCTTTCGCGCATTCAGGCGGCCGTGGCATGATTTCGTGAGACGCTGCAACGAGCCCAACCTTTCGAAACCGCCCATACAGTCATCACCGCCCTTTCGCACAGTCAGCATTGAGACGTCCATCAGACGGATGTGCGGCGCCGTGCAAATTATCGGTCCCCTGTGGATTTCGACCTCGCAGAAATAATCGCCTGCTGTCTGCGGTATCGCTAAGCCGACTGGTTGCGATAGCTCGCTGCTGGGCGTGCTACTATTGCGGGTGTGCTCTAAGCTTCTTATCACATGAATGGAAAGCGGTCTTAAGCCGCTTCTTGTTGCAGCTGACAGGTGCAATTCGTTAAGGAATGAGTGAGTGCGGTGGCCTTATACGCTGGTATCCGTTTGTGTGGTACTGTGCTCTTGTTTGGAAAGACGAATGACTCTTCGACGCAGTTGTTCTGTATGCGGAGTAGGGCTTGTGGCGCTTACAGGGGTACAACAGTCTTTCGTAACGCCCATTGGGAACCACCGCGATCCCTTATCTGTAATTGATAATCTCAGTTTGATTCATCGGTCTACTTAGCAATGGGACCGGAGGGGTTGAAAACGTCAGGTCTGATTTATCTTTTTTTTTTTTTGGAATGGGCTAAATCCAGAATGGAAACTTGCTCAAATAAGGCTGCATCGGCACACACATACTCTGAACTTCCTTCTCAAACAGTAATGATGAATTACTAATTCTTTATCATTTTTATCATAACTGTTCTAGAGAAAATTGGACCGTATGTATTTTTACCAATGGGGCGGGGCTTTACTTGAGCTAGCTTTGGTTCAGGATTTTAGTCCATTTCGAGCAAAAGCTTCTCGTTCGTTTGTTGAAAGACACCACTAGCGATAAGTGCGATTTCCAAGCCAAGCTTATTGTAAGTAACTGGAGGCGAAAATGCTGTAGGCCCGTGTGCTCAGATTTGGGCGCTCGTTAAAGGAACCCCTGGTGGTCAAAATTTCTAGAGCCCTCCAGTACGGCGTCTCTCATAATCGTAGGGTGGTTTTGCGATGCTAAAACCCCACATAGCAATCAATTATTGTAAGCGACATATCGGGGGCGGCCGCGGCGTATTGAGCTAAAGAACCTACAGTGTACCGAGATGCGGTCCTGGAGGGTGCGCCGGACACACGTGCATTCGTATGCTGCGTCTTCCAATAACCGAGGCTCCTTCGATTGCGGACTGCTCGGTGATCAACCGTTTCTCATGTGGCAATCTGATCTTTTATTGAGGTGACTCGTTTCGCTTCATTGTTGCCGGTGTACCACTACAAGAACGTTGTTGTTTCCTGTAGCAACATAGTTCGCAGCTGAGCTAATGAGTGACATCCGATTGTCGGCGCAGAGGAAGTGGAAAGCTTGGAGGTAGCTTTGCGCAATGTGATGGAAATGGAACAGATTGTCCCGATTTCCCCGTTTGGACAAGGGCTTTCATTTTTTTTCTTGGCACAGGCTATCGCTGCTGTTATTCAGACTACTATTGCTAAGAGAGAGAGAGAAATAAATAAAAGGAAGAGACAGGGAGGTTAACCTAGACGAACTGGTTTGCTACCCTGTCCGGAGGTGGGGAAAAGGGTCGGAAAGAGGATATATATATAGAGATATAAATAAATTAGAAAAAAAACACATGCGCACACATTCAGGGAGTTCCGATCACAGTCGTTTGGACAAGCCGGTTGAACGCAAAAAGCGCAGGAGCGCCTTTACAGCCTTCTTCGGCGACATAAAGTCCTGTAGGCAGCGCAGGATTCTTTCTTCCGAAGGAGGCTGGTTGTCCAGTTCATCTAGTGCATTGCAGAGTGACTATCTCTGCGAGCAGTATTGTGGGCATTCACACAGAATGTGCCAAGTTGTTTCATCACTGCCACAATGGCCGCATGCAGCAGTGTCAGCCATTCCTATGCGGAACGCGTACGCATTTGCAAATGCGACGCCCAACCATAATCATCTGCACAGCATAGTAGCGTCTCGTCGGCGTAATTCCGGAGGAATTCGAAGACTCAGAGTTGGGTCTGAAGTACCTAACCGTGCATGGATGAAGTGTGACTCGTTCCATTGTGACGTGGTGCGCTTGCGAGCGAGCATGCGGAGTTTCCGTGCAGCGTCAGTTCTGGAAAGCGGAATTGATATTTCATCGCTTTCAGTATGGGTAGAACGGGCAGCTCGATCTATTGCTAACTTCTCACAAGAGAGTACGGGCTTCCGCCATCTTAGTGCCGGGCACTTCCATGCCGCATGCCTCGCAGAACAAGTTCACCACCCTTTCCCTGGGTTTCAAGACCGACCGGCTGACGCTGACCAAGCGACTGGAGCTCCACCAGCGCCACCGGGACATAGCCGAGGGAAACATCCAGGCCGAGCTCAACGCTATCCGGGACCTGGCGCAGGTATGTATGGCTTAGCGTGCGTGCACGCGGCAGCTCAAAGTGTACAGCAATGGCAGATTCAAATATGGATTGAATAAGCTGTAGTGCAACGAGAGTAAGGACGTTAAAGAGAATGGGTCAGGAAGGAGCTAGAGAAGGACTGAAATTCTGGGGGCCAAGGTTCCTTCATGATGCTAGACTCCGAAACCTTTTTTTCACGGAGAGGAGGATTTCCCCCTTTCAAGGCTGTTGCCCGGAAGTACTATAGCCGACGTCACAGCTTCGGCAGTGCATTTTCGGGGAATCATGCATTTTAACAAGAGCCCAGGAGGACTATGGCGGCGCCCCCGGCGAGCCTTCAGTAAAGGTCTGCACACAATATTTGAAGGCGTGCGTCTTAACCAGGCACGCCAGCAGGTCACAGTGTTGTGCAGCATAGTCTAGTATTCTAAATTTCAGTTTTCAATTTGTTTTTATTGAGCATTATATAGCAGCAGGGTGGGACAGAAAAGTGAGCGTTTGGAGGAGGGCATGAAATAAAGCATAGAATAGCCATCAGTAGACAGGACGAATGGCAGAAAAAGAACGAATCAAAGGAAGAAATAGAATCAAAGATAGAAAGAGAAGCAACAAATACAGGAAATCAGAGGGAAACGAACATACAGAAAGTGAAATAAAAAGACAGAGAAAGAAATAAACACAGACAAAAATAAACACGCACAAACAAAACCTGTGAGTAGAGAGGAAGGAAAAGAAATAACTGGAGTAAGAGGAACTTTGCGACACTTGGCGAAACGGCAGCATCCAGGACTATACTTAATGTAGCCGTCAGCTCCGCCTTCTTTTTAGCATATACGCCTGCAAGCTATAGTAAACTTTTTTTATGGTTAAATTTAATTTTTCATTATATTTGCCCATATTGAGAGCCGATGTTGTACCTAAAGGTTCTACCATCTTTCGTTATTCCCTGGTTAATGACTAAATATTTTAATAGTCAAGCTGTAGATGTTCATTTTCTTTACTAACACTTTCGCGTGGGCTCTATCCCAAACGTTTTATTATACTAGGGTGCGGTAAAATCTGATTATTGAATCATATTCTTTTGATCGTTTTCTTTGCGTCATTGCAGACCCTGGACTCGCTGTGCACGGACGACGAGCGCGTCCGGGAGGTGGTAGCGCAGATTCGCAACCACGTCGACGTCATCCAGCAGTCCACCGACCGCGTGTCCAGCCAGGCGGAGGTGTACGGTGCCGTCCAACAGGTGCGTGCGCGTATGCCCGGCGTCTTGTTTTGTCCGTTCTAATTCGATCGCGCCTCAATAGACATTCACTTGAACGCGATAGGTCAATAGAAACGCAACGTCATGTAGACGTCATCCAGCAGTCCACCGACCGCGTGTCCAGCCAGGCGGAGGTGTACGGTGCCGTCCAACAGGCGCGTGCGCGTATGCCCGGCGTCTTGTTTGTCCGTTCTAATTCGATCGCGCCTCAATAGACATTCACTTGAACGCGATAGGTCAATAGAAACGCAACGTCATGTCGACGTCATCCAGCAGTCCACCGACCGCGTGTCCAGCCAGGCGGAGGTGTACGGTGCCGTCCAACAGGCGCGTGCGCGTATGCCCGGCGTCTTGTTTTGTCCGTTCTAATTCGATCGCGCCTCAATAGACATTCACTTGAACGCGATAGGTCAATAGAAACGCAACGTCATGTCGACGTCATCCAGCAGTCCACCGACCGCGTGTCCAGCCAGGCGGAGGTGTACGGTGCCGTCCAACAGGTGCGTGCGCGTATGCCCGGCGTCTTCTTTTGTCCGTTCTAATTCAATCGCGTCTCAATAGACATTCACTTGAACGCGATAGATCAATAGAAACGCAACGTCATGTCGACGTCACCAGCAGTCCACCGAGCGCGTGTCCAGCCAGGCAGAGGTGTACGGTGCCGTCCAACAGGTGCGTGCGCGTATGCCCGGCGTCTTCTTTTGTCCGTTCTAATTCAATCGCGTCTCAATAGACATTCACTTGAACGCGATAGATCAATAGAAACGCAACGTCATGTCGACGTCATCCAGCAGTCCACCGAGCGCGTGTCCAGCCAGGCGGAGGTGTACGGTGCCGTCCAACAGGTGCGTGCGTGTACGCCGGCGTCTTGTTTTGTCCGTTATAATTCAATCGCGCTTCGATAGACATTCACTTGAACGCAATAGGTCAATAGAAACTTTACGTCATGCCCGTAAATGTATTTTGTGCAGTATTGACCTTGCACTCCTCATCACTGACTCCTTGTCGGCGCGTCGAAAGTTGCGCGTGCGCGTTAGTGTCGTTTGAAGCCTAGGACATTTCGAAATGCTACCCTTAGTATGATTAATTACTTTTATGTGCTTTTATAAAAAGAGAGACAATTAGTAACCCTTGTGTGTATCAGCCAATACAATTAGGCGCATGTTTTATACCCGTAGGCATGTGCTAAGGCCTCCAGAAATGTAATTTCATTCGCCATTTTGTTCCATCAGCTTATTTTTTTTATCCATCGGTAATTTCGTGCCCAACGCTTTGAATGAACTCTTTTTTTAACATTCGAGGTTCCAACATCAGGTCGGAGATCAGTTCCGGCATAAACGATCGGTGTGCCTTGCCCGCGCAGTTCACATTTCTGTGCGTTTTTGCTTCGTACGCGTTTCACGCGTTCGTGCACACACCACGCGATCTCGCGCGATTATACGCAGTTTCCGAGCATCGCTTATACGACAATTATCTTCTCGTACTGTCGCTTAGGCTTGCCCCAGAATCGAGTTTCTATATAATAGCCCGGCAATTACCTTCGTGCCTTCGGCATTCCCTTGTTTAACTGGAAGGACGACTTTCCCTGCGGCCGCACTGCGAGGAAGGTATGGGACCTTGTTGAAAGATCTAACTGGGACATGTGCGCCGGTCTTTGGCACTATACGTTTAGGGCTTGTATCGAGGCATTGCGGATGCCGCCGCTAACGAGCTCGCCTTAATTCATTTTGCAAACGGCTTAGGCGTAATCGGCGTAGGCGTAATTGACGCAGCCGCCAGGCTAGCGAGGTGCGCGCGTCGGTGGTCTATGCGTACTCCCCGTAGGCTTTTCACTGAGAGCGATTGCTCGTTCGCGCGCGGCGCCCCCCCATTGGCCCATTTCTTCCGGCGGTTAGAGCGACGCCTACACAGCGTTTCTGAGAAGCAGTAGAAATGTTCGTTTGTTTTTTTCTTTGTCTTGTTTTTGTTTTTATGTCGTGCGCATGTTTTTTGACGAATGGAAAATAAGCTGGTATCATCCTTTCCGGACCCGGTGGATTTTTTGTTTTTAGGCAGAACCACGTGAACAAATCAATCACAGCTGCAAGTGATGCTTGCTTTTGGTTTTCTGACGCGCGCAGTTCTCCTATTTTCTTTAGCCTTGTTCTTGCGCAGTATGTAGTGTTCCTTGGCTTTTCCTAAACGCTTTGGTGCGATGAAAGTGGGAGAACTCATTTATGTGTTCTTCGCGAATTATATTAGCTATATTTTCGGGTATAACCCCCCGCAGATAGGATCAGTACCGGAAGCTCTTTGTGAGCTTGTACTATTCTATTAGACTGCGATAGAATTCTCTGAATGCTATAGGTTGTCGCTATTCTGGTTTCGTATATGCTGGGAACTTGTAACGTGTTGAGCACGCTACCTTAAGGTACATCTAGGACGTTGTATAAATGATTCTTCATGGCAAGCACCGCAGAATGGTTGGACCCACATTTGATTGTGCTCCATATGCCAAGCGAAGGCTTTTTTTTTTTTTTTGTGACGCGCAGCTCTGGGCTTCATAATGCAAATTACTTTACCCTAGTGCTCTACAGCGCGTGTAATGTGCGTTTAATGAATGTGTGAAGCAGCACCAGCTTCTTAACACGCTAACACGTGACGTAAGCCTTAACAGCGATGTTAAGCGCTGACCACCTCTGCGTCGAGGATCGCTCGTCGAGTACCACTGTGGGTACGCATCAACTTGACGGAATCGTCTCTCCGTCGTGTGTGTTGATCTACCCTCGTATGCTGTGTTCGCGTGACTTGATGTGTGGCGCTTGCCGTGACGTCACCTTAACCGCCACCTCTGGTGGCGCCCCCTTGACCAGGAGGAGCGCATGAGCAGGGCGTTCGAGGTGATGGTGGCTCACGTGGAGAACCTCAAGCGCTCCTCCGAGCGGGAACACCGGGAACTGGAGGAGGCCCGCAAGCTGCTGCTCGACCATCAGCTCATGCACGACGCGGCCAATGTGACGCCCGTAAAGGTGCGCCGCTCCTCCAATCGCAAGCGCGCCATCACTTGGAGGAAGCAGACACGTGACCTTATTGTGCCAACCGCTGCGCTTCTGTCGCTTCGCCGCTTTGTGACGTGTTCGCACCCGCGTGATTGGAACCTGCCGCACGTTCGCTGCTGCTCGGAACGCCCTGCACCCGAGGTCGTCTGCGGCTACCGCATCGGGTCGCTGCCTGCCTGCCCTTACTGGCTCGGTTCTTGAACTCGGCTTGGATGTGTGTCGTCTTGCGCCGTTTCGCTCCGAACGCAGTGTACCTGAGTTCGTCTGCCGAAACGAAACGGCGTCCTGTCACAGCCTGCCCGCGCTTGCTGGCTCACTTCTTGGGTCCCGGCTTGGCTGCGTGTCGTCTTGCACCGCTTCGATAGTGCGAGAAACTGATGATCATGCTTTCTTTCGCAGCACTGCATAGGCTACGATCGTTTGTCACTTCGGTGGCCCCCGATTCGCTGCTGTGCGTTTCTGCTGCTAGTGCTTGTTGCATGCGTGGAAGCAGGAGGAATGAGCCAATGTAATTGTGGTGCATGGCATGCCTCGTACGTCTTGTCCGTACAGACTTTTGTGCTCGTGCGGGTGACGCAGACATTTCCGGAAGTTTAGAACACCCACTCGCTGGGCCTCCGGTACGTCGTGGCCTGGCACTTTTAGCTTGTTTCATCGTTAGTTTTTTTTTTGTCATCGTGATCACCGTCATTCATCAAACTTACTCCCGTGGAGGTATAGATGTGAACATGGGCCGGGCACATAGTGCGTAGGTAGTGTAGCCGCTGGTCATTAAGGGTAACTCACGGGATTCCAAGGGAAAGCAAATGTGTGAGAGGGGGAGAGAAAATTAGGTGGACAGATGATATTAAGGAGTTTGCAGGTGTAACGTGACAGCAGGCGTCACAAGGCTGGGTTGATTGGTGGAACATGGGAGAGGCGTTTTCCCTGTTGTAGGCGTGGTCAAGCTCATGATGGAAGTATTAGAGCATTATAATGTGATAGAGTGCGAGTGCATGAACGGCCAGCGCTATATATTCTTGGGTTATATATATGCGGAAATTCTCGCCTTGCGGTGGAGCAGTGACGGCTTCACTTGCGTCGTTGGTTACGTGGATTGGACACTTTTGGCAGAGACTGCATCACGTGATGCTGCATCTCCAGTTGCTGTACGTATTGACGGTGCTCAAAAAGCTTATCTGTGATCGTGACGTTGGCCCCGTGCTTCGCCTCCCGCTAACTGCTTCGTCATCTTCGCAGTTCCATTATACCGTTTCTTGGTAGACAGTATCATTTTGCTCTTTCATGCAGAACCGGGAGTGTACCTTGGCGCACGCAGCATTCTGCTCACTGAAAGATTATTTTCCTCATAGAGTAGGCCGACGCAAGAAATAAATGCGCATTGCAAGCTCTCTGCGTACATTCTTCGTCCTGCGTCGGTACGTTTGAATTACGTTTTCTATGAATATGCAATGCGAACGAGTTTAGCTTTACTGTTACATTCTACGCTGTTGCATTACAGTTTACTGCGTAGCAAAGTGCATTGTCGTACGCGTCAACGGGCTATATCTTACACATACATTTATGTATCTTGCTTCACCTCTCAGTTAATGCTTGTTTCTTTGTCCGTTTCATATCTCCCGGCGCTTCGAAGTGTCGCCGTTTCGTAAGCACCGGCAAAAGCGCCAGCTGCGCGAGATAGCACCGTGTAACTAGTCTAGCGACAATCTCGTCACGTCTCCGCGTTGTTCTTGGGAAACAAACAAAAAAAGGACATTCGCTTGCTGCGAAAAGTTTAGCAAACTGCATTCTTGAGAGATATCAACAGCCTGGGAGAAGACTACGTCTAGCGTCGTCTTATGTTAATAAGGTAATAAACATGCATTAACCTCCAGATTGTTGGCTAACCGGATTCTAGAAAACCGCGGCGGAGTTTCGGATGCGAGCGAAAAAGAAAGCCCTTACTCGCGCCTTACCAAACGGCTTGTAAAACGCTAGGCGTTTCACGTGTCGTCCGGTGTTTTCTACACAGAGTTGCGGATAATTCTGCGGAGGGTTTCGGCGTGTCGGATGTTCTGGTATAAGCGGTAGATGTAGGGACCTTAATTACTGGACGGTTGTAGCGACCTCAAGTGGCACTTTCAACAAGTCCGGTGCTTTACACGTTGGTGTGTACCGTGAGTTTTCTTGTATAGAGATTGTGGTTCTAAGAGGCAACGCACTTGCAATTACGCTGGTCCCAGGCGTCTAAAACGAGCGTGAAGGATAAGGATACACATTGTTACTGCGATTGTAAGGTTATTGTTGCGCACGGTTGAGCTGTGTGCCGTCCGGGTGGATCCACCTATGCTGGTGTTCGCGTTTACGCCTCCTGTTATCCGCAAACGCTAAAAAGCTTGTGTACGAAGAAAAAAAGAAAAGCAGTTTGAGGAAAGCGTACGCGAAGCGTTACGTTCTCAGTTGTCACTGCGCATGCGCCGTTTGCCAACTCCTTGCGGGCATGAATGTCCTAAATATACACCAGAGGGAATTCTGGCGCTAGGGTCTATGGGAGCTGCAGCGCACGGCGCTTCAGCGAGCATGGGAATCATGGGTAGTACCAGATTTGCCCAATCTTCGTTCTTCTGGGGTTCGTGTGTGTTTGTGCGGCTTGAAGCTGTTTTATAACGGAACAAAAATCGGCAAATGATCAGCGGCTGCGCTTCACCACCTTATTCCTTTAAGCTTACCACTTCGAATCGGGTCACGATGTTCAAAAAGGTTCGTTCTTTCCTTCGAAACAAAACCGAAACACAGCAATAAACGAAATCACAAGTGCGATTCGCTGCCCGCAAGTACAAAGACTATAGGCAAATCCGTGTATTACCAATCAATCCCGTGGTCGCTCAACGATAGCAGCACCAGAGTCCCCTCTAGTTATTTTTAGGAAACTCTATGCTTGCGAACTTCCGTTAACTGACGGGAGAGAGAGAGAGAATAAACATTTATTAATAACAAATGCACACTGAGCCTTCTTTGGGTGGGGCCCTCAGTCCAGGGCTCCATTGCCTTGCGCGACCCTGCGAGCCCGCTGGACCAGCTGAGCGGGCGACCGCGAGGAACGCTATCTTTGCGTTCTTCGCCCGTCGCTATTCTAAAACAGCCTATTTGTCTTAACGTTGCTGCCAACTCTACGCAAGGAGCTAATCTGCGTCCGCAAATGCTAGACATTTTGTCTCGCCGGTTACACTCCGCGCTACCACGTGGCATCACGTGCCAGTTGCTCGTGTTTACGTCACCGTTACGCCGCCATTCAGGACAGAGCGATGCATTTTCAATGATAACCAGTGGTGCGCGCAAAAAAAAAAGGGGGGGAGTCGTAAATAGACCGCGCATGTTTTCCAGCCTCGGAAACAGGTGCCGCTGTCTCCCGGATTTCTCGGAAAATGCGGGACGATGCATCGGCGTTCACATTATTATTTTTTTTTTGCGTCTTCGGCTATTTGCGTCAGGGTTCGGCACGAGGTAACCTTTACTGCGGAGGGGCGCGCTTCACCGATTTCGACAGAAATTTCGAAAACGTTGGGTAAACGCAGCCTAAACAAACGCGAACGCGCCTCAGAGGTACTTTTTTTTTCTTCGTTTGTTTTCGTTTTCCGGCAATGGAGGCTTAGATCCATGCTCAGTATATTGTGGAACAAAGTCTGTGCTCATATATTATTGGCATTAGAAAGACGCGGTGATCCATCCTATTCTCACTTTGCAACTCAAGGCGCTCTAACCTTACTAAGCATTTAACTCGTGCACAGCCTACCGCAGTTCAAGGAACGGCTAGCAACATTCATGCGTGCAGATTTAGTTAACTGCGCACGATCTCTGCCGTGGGCCGTAAATCATAAGCTGAAAGTGTGCTAGATCGGTAGCCTTGTCGGTTTGTGTAGGATTTTATAACGGTACGCCAGAAGAAAATCTGGCGCTATTGTCTATGGAAGCTACAACGCAGGGTGCTTTGCCGATTGCAACTCAATGCTATACCATTTTGCTGCCTTTGCGCTTGCAGTGCAATCTATCATACTTCGCCTCAAAAGTTTGTACAGTTGAACCCCTTTCTAACAAGCATGCAATGGAAAGCAATTTTTGTCTCTTATATGAGGTGTCTCTTACAAAGAGTTCGACAAATATGCACTTTTCTATAAGCCGTTGTTTTTGATGTAGGCACACTAGCGTGTCTCGTACCCATTTTTTTTCTTACATCATTGTCTCTTAAAAAGGGATTCGACTGTATTGTACTTTTTTTTTAGTTCTCGCGAATGTGTCTGCAGCTTGTGTCACGACGTATCTGGTGCCTTATTATGCGTGCATTACTCGGGCCATAGACAAGCTTTCGTCCTATGGAATATGTGAAGAACAGAACAACCATGTCATACTGTACTTGCGAATAATTTTAGGGCGTGGGGCTCTGCGAGATGCCTCCTTCGCCCCGGCTTGACTGCTCGTACGTTAAACAAGCGACAGGCGCTTTTGCCAAGGCAGCCTGTGCGGGACATTGGTGGATTGCGGTATTATGGAAATGTGCACGATATTATGGAGATGTTCGGGGTTTTTTCGCATTTGTTGCGACTGCACTGCATTTGCGCACCCACTGCGGCATGGGGGTTATGGTGTTTGTGTGTTTGTCTTTGCACTGCTGAACGAATGAGCACCGTGGATACTAAGCATGCTGTATGTATAAATATAAGTGCATGCTACTCAACTTCCCTGTAGGGCCTACCTTTGTCCTAGATAGTACTTTGTGCTATAGTTCGATTCCTGCCGCTACTTCGACGGCCGGACCAAGGAATGCGCGCGGCAACAAAGCTTCGCGGAGCGCTATGATATGATTACTCGATACTCGTGATTGTATCAGAATTGCTTGTCACGCGTCAGTCGTATGTTGTAGGCCCGTGTGCTCAGATTTGGGTGCACGTTAAAGAACCCCAGGTGGGCGAAATTTCCGGAGCCCTCCACTACGG